TGATGAAGAATTTGCTGAGAATTACAGAGCTTTATATGAGCATTGGCTTAAAATGGTTGAGGAGAATTCAGTGTTAACTAAGGAGAAACTTAAGTTAGAGGCCAAAGTCATTGAAGCACAAAAATATGCTGCAGAAAAAGAAGAAGAAGCATCACAAGCTAAAGTACAACTTGAAGAAACTCAAAAGAATTTGAGGATGCTTAATAATGGCACAAAGAAGTTGGATCATATTCTGAATATAGGCAAAATAGATAAGTGTGGCCTAGGATTTAAAGGAAGTCTTTCCAAATCGGATCCGGTGTTCGTTTATGGTGGTAAAATCACGTCTGCTTCAGGAACTGACACAGAAACTGCAGCAGGGACTGCAATTAATGCAAAGACTGTATCTGATACGAGAACTGATACAGAGTCTGATTCAGGAAAAGTTAAAGAACTGCAGAGTGCACCTCGACAAGTTTTTCGACCTGTTTGCCATCATTGTGGTGTTGTTGGGCATATTAGGCCAAGGTGTTTCAGATTGTTGAGGGAGAGAAATCGAATGGAGAATGCTTATGATAAGAGATTTCATGGTCCTACATGTTATCATTGTGGAGTTCAAGGGCATATTAAGAGGAATTGTTTCAGATTCATTCGAGAATCCAGTCATGAAGGCTTAAGGCGCAGGAAGATTTGGGTTAGGAAAGATGATTTCTATGGAGGTGGTGTACTAGGCTATCAACCTCGTATTGCAAAACGGGGAGAATTTTCTAAGTAGTTTTGACCATGTTGTGACTCATTCAGGGGGAGAATGTTGATGTGTTTCGTGATGTTGTTTTGGAGTTAGAACTGTTGAGTTCACAAACATAGTCAAAAAGGGGGAGAATGAAGATGTAGCTGCAGTCTGATGAAGTTGTTGAATGAGTCAAAAAGTAATACAAGATTTTGTCTGATGGAGTTTCTGAATGATTCAAGAAGTAAGTCAAGATGCGACTGTTTTTGTGTGAGTGTCGGTTTCTAGAAGGTTTGAGAAGATATGTTTGGAGCGTGTTTAGAGGATGAATCACAAAGGAAAAAGGACTTAAAAAGATTTGGAAGACTTGATGAAAGTGGAGTTTGATGAGAAAAAGGAAAAGTATAAAAGGAAATTTACTTTTTCTTATGGAAATTGGAAATCTTCTCCTATGGTGATTAGAAAATCGTTTTGGCTATATAAGGAGGAGTGGAGGACGTCTTTGTGAAGCAAGAGAGCTGAGGCATAAAGAAGAAATCTTTGAGAGCTTTCGGTGAGGTTGTGTGCAACTTAGTTTTGCGGTTTGTGCTTGTGTGATCAAGTGGTTTTGTTTTGAAGTCTAGGCTCAAGGGGAGTTTAGCTCAGGGTTAGGTTATCCTGATTAAATCTAGACTCAAGAGGAGTTTAGTTAAGGGTAGAGATTATCCTTAAGGTTTCACGTTATAGAAGGGAGCGGTAAATCAAGAGGGTTGGGCTTGTTTTACGCGTTTGCGAATTGGTTGTAATTTGCTTTCTTGTTCTAGTGAAATCGAATCTGGACTTGGTCCCGGGGAGTAGGAAAAACCGAACCTCGTTAACAAATTTCTTGTCTCGTTTACTTTCTACAATTTATCGTACCTCATCCGCACTTACAATATTCACTATCAGTTTTCATGACGCATTTATTGTAAACAGTTTTTTTTGTGAATAAATTTTACATTCATAAAAAATAATATCTTTGTAGAATCAATTACAAGTAAAAAAACAATAAATATGTCAAGAAAACAATACAAAAAGTTTTCAATGAAGTAAAAATATTAGAAATAAACTCTACCAAAAATTTATGTAAATTTAAGAAAAAAAATAATACTATAGAATCATATTTCACTAAAGATTTTATATATAAATTAATTAAAAAAAATTATAAAACTATTAATTTATGATATTGATGAGAGCATATATTTATATAGGATTTTCAAAGAAATTATTATCTTATTATTTTATCTAACTGTGTTAAAAATTACACTGACCCAATTTAAGAGCGGAAAAATTTATTAATTTATAATAATTATTAATGTATCCAATGTTAATTTATAGATGAATAGGCCTGTTCCTTTAAGTTATTCCTTTTCAAAAGAAAACAATATGGGTCAATCTCTTGGCTTTTCGTTAAAACTTACACAAAAAAAAATTAACATGGTTTTTAAGTCCAAATATACGCCGGTCTAATTCAAACGAAAACTGATCCGATTTGAAATTGGTCTGATCAATATGATTTGAAATTGATTTAAAAAAGCATTATATCAAGATGAATTGCTAAACAAACCATTATCCCAAGAAAAATGTATTTTAAATCTCACATTCGAATGAAGAACCGTAAAATATCTATAAAGGATGTGATCATTTACTCACTATCAGTTAGTGTAGATATTTTTTTTTCAAAGTCAGAATTCTATAAAAGTTTAAAATAATGTTTTGCTTCAAATACTTCGTTTATGAAATAAACTATTTTAATCTTTTTTTTTTTCATTTCACTATGAATTATCTAAAGGATGTTCAATCGCAAGACTATTCAAAAGCGGATAGCTCCATTAACTGTTCTAGTGTAACTATTCTTAGAAGTATTTGGTTTTACTATTTTAGTCTTACTTTCTGATACTTGAATGTTCAGGTAACATTTTCAAAACTGGAGATGATTATACTTATTCGTAAACATATAATTATATACTGTATTAAAAAGCTTGTAAGTAGGGCCCGAAATGTGGAAAACATTGTAATTTAAATCCAAGCTAGCTAGTTTTAGAAGAAGACGCAATGTAATATGTATGTATATAAATAATAGAAAATAATGAAAACGATATAAGCCAAACATACTTATTATGAATATTAATTGGAGAGGAGGAGTGTTACCATCCATATGGTGTGAATTCTATGATTTTTGGACCCATTGTTATAAACGAAGGAAGAAGACAAAGAACATGAAGACATGAATAGTTTTATTTCAAAAGTAATAAATATATATATTTAAATAAAAAGGAATGGTTGTCGTTTGAAAATGGGTACGAGTAAATAGTGTTGCAGACTCTGCTCCAACAGTAATTACAACAATGCAATATGCAACCACGACCCACTTGCTTCTATTCATTTCTCATTCATGTTCTCTCTCCATTTTGACTAATGTGTTAAATGTTCAATGATCATAACCATTTTTTTTTCTCTTTGCACGCTTCTTCGTTAGGTTAGGTCGTACGTAAAAAGTGATGACCTAATCGTAGAGACCAACTAAATTTACTTAATCGAGTGTTTAAGCTGCATATAACTTTTGCTTAGCTTATTCTTTACCTAAAAAGAACGAGTAGTGAAAAAAGAGAGTTTAAAAGTTTTGACAATAGCTTAGCCCAATTTTTTTAGAATACTTGTGCTAGTACATAAGGTAAAAGTACACATTTATTGTAGTCGTTGTATTGGTTTAATTTGGCTCTATTGGTTGAGGATTCAGATTTATAAAAAAAAAGTACAGTAATTGCTAGTAGAAACCATATTAATTTAGAATGTAAAATGAGCTTGAATAAGTAAATATACTATTGTTGTTATATAAATATTTGCATTTTCTACAGAAACCAACTAAAACAGGTAGCCATCAATTTTAAGATATGCACCAAAATGCAGAACTATATGCATAGTCTTGTGTCTTGAGAATGTAACTTCAATTATTAACACCAAAATGTCTAAAAACCTAAAGCATCTCAGAAACAGTGCCTCTGTCCCTAACCCAAACTCAACGGTTCTATACAAAAACTTTGATTAATGTTTTTATATTCCTTTAGATTTGGAAATACAAAACTAAACTGCATAACAAAATACTATAACGGATGTTCTAGTAACTTAACCTTATGTGCTACTAGAACCTAATCTTTAAAGGTTACTAACATTGGGTTAATCTTCTAAACTCCAAGGACAAATTTGTAGACAAGTTTCATGGTCTATGTCCTAATTTTCTCGTAGAGGAAAGAGTATATATCAAGAAGTATATAGATATATATAGAGAAGAAAGACAGAGTCCGTGATCACTCTCTCACTCTCTCTCTCTATCTCTATATATCGACACACCATAAAAGTTGTTCTTTCTCTCCGTTTCCTTAGCCTCTGCATCTGGGCGATTTTCTCTTTCTATCTCCCTACACCTTAGGGAGTACTGATCCTAAACTCATCATCTTTCTATGCCTTCCTCTTTTCTTTCACTTATTTTCTTTTCTATTTTTTTTCAACTCTTACTTTGCGTAAAACTAGCGAGTCAAAAATAAAGACACTTGCATGATCCTAATATAATATTATAATAATATTGTAATTAGAGAAAGAGAGAGAAGAGAAGAAAGAAAGTGGCAGTAGATTCTTATGGATTTTTGTATAAAGAAACATGAAAAAATGGGTTTGACCGAAGAAACTTTTAGGACGGTAACTTCATTATCAAACTTTTCTACTGTATTTATATTTTGGCTTTTGTCAAACCGTATCATATAATATAATGCGAATTACTAGTAGAGAGTATAATAATAGTAATAACAAAATGCTTGGTTACTGTATGTAAATCCCTAGACAAAAAGAATAAGAATATAAAGAGCAAAATTCTTCATCCCAAGATCCATCAGGAGAGTCAGAGTCAGACCCCATCTCTCATTTCCCATCTCTCCTTTTCACATTTATTTCCTTTTTTTTTTCTTTCTATATACTTTTTATTTTGAAATTTAATACTAATAACTATACATTTATTGTTATTATTGTTGTTAGAGTCTATGCTAGGGTCCAAGGGTTCATCCCAAGATCCCCTCTTCTTCTCTTTAGAAACTCTCAACTTCTTCACATGGAAATCAATTCCCTATAGTACCAAATCCTACTACTATTGAAGGTATGTTTATACTCTATGGTTATTTAGTAGATAAATTAAAAAATAAATAACATTAATTAGTACTAGTCTTATCATATTTATGAGCTCATTTCCTTATAAAATAATATAATATGAAATTTTTAGCACAAGATGAGCTTTGCCCATCGATAGCCTCAAAACCCAAAAGTCTTTTCTTCACGAGATCCAATCTTTTGCTTTTTAGTAATTAATTACATCTTCTTCCTTCTCTTCTCTCTTCTTCTTCCCTCTCTCATACCTACCTATAAGCAACACAAAGAACACCATTGATCCCATCTGTTTTATTCCTTATATTTCGTTAATCCATCCTACGCATTCCAACTATACGGTACAAATTTCCATCTCTCTTTAATTTGTTGCTTTTAAAAAAGATTTAAAATCTCTCAGGTTGTCTCTAGACTCTTAGGTCTAGTTACCAAAATTTGACTAGCAATGATATAGCTACAAGTATCCTCTATATATCATATAGCTTCACATATTTCTAGGTCTGAAATGATCTTTTATATCTTCAAAGCATATATTATATTTGGATGCATACCTTTATGTTTGACTTTAGAAAAGCACCTTCATGTTACTCATTTTTTCCTCTATTTGCTTTCAACAGTTGACAAGAAGGTTGGATCAGTGCATATAATTAATTATATATAAGCATACATATATACAACTCCATGTGTGTGTCTATTGTGTATGTGCATATATAGAGCTCACCAAATATCTTTAATACTACTAATTGCAAAGTTCCTCTTATTTTACAGCTTTTTGTATGCAACCCCAAATAGCAGCTTAAAGAAAGCAGAGAGGATCTTCTTTTATTTCCCCTCTGAGAAAGAGAAACCATTATTCAAAGAAAGGCTTCTTTAATTTACTCGCAGGTAAAACTTTCTTATTCTATAGATTGAACAAATTTTTTTTTTTGTTATCAACAATAAAGATTGACCAACTTCTCAACATTATTTCTTTCTTTATTTTTCTCACTTATTTTCATATTTGATTACAATAACAGATAATATAATATCTCCAAAATCACAATTGATTTCATAATATCTTTTTTTCTTCCTTATGACTTCTACCTCCAAAAACTAAATTCAAAAACCCTAAATTCAATGGCGGCTTTGTGTAGGGAGAGAGAAAAAAGAAAAGATTGAAAAACTCCATTTTCAAGTCAATAAAATGGCATCTTCTTCAACAAACTCACCATGCGCCGCTTGCAAATTTCTCCGGCGAAAATGTCAACCGGAATGTGTATTCGCGCCCTATTTCCCACCGGACCAGCCACAAAAATTCGCAAACGTTCACAAAGTGTTTGGAGCAAGTAACGTCACAAAGCTCCTCAACGAGCTTCATCCTTCACAACGTGAAGATGCAGTGAACTCTTTGGCCTATGAAGCCGACATGCGTCTCCGTGACCCTGTCTACGGTTGCGTCGGAGTCATCTCTCTTCTCCAACATCAGCTTCGTCAGCTTCAGATAGATCTCAGCTGTGCTAAATCTGAGCTCTCTAAGTACCAAAGCCTCGGTATCCTCGCCGCCACTCATCAGAGTCTAGGCATCAACTTACTCGCCGGAGCAGCCGATGGAACAGCCACCGCCACCGTGAGAGACCACCACTATCACCACCATCAGTTTTTTCCTAGAGAACAAATGTTTGGTGGCTTGGATGTTCCGGCCGGTAACAACTACGACGGTGGGATTCTGGCCATTGGACAGATCACTCAGTTTCAGCAGCCGAGAGCCGCCGCTGGTGATGACGGCCGCCGTACTGTTGATCCGTCTTGAGATTTTAGGGTTTTGGTGGTTCATCGTCGTCGATGCCTTGGTGATGATGAAATTACAATTAAAAAAAAATATTTGATGTGGAAAACCAAAATATTTTAAACGTATGGTACGTCTCTCTTGATGACATTAATTTCAGTTTTATTATTATTATTACTTAGATATATGATGATAGTCACTTTTGTATTTCTTTCAAATTTTATGGACTTGTTCTCTTAATTTATATGATTATATCACATAGTTGCATTATAAAGTATAGTATAGTAATTCCAGATATGTCGATTCTAATAGGATCATCATACTTATATCCAGCAAAAATATAGACCTAATAATTTAAGTTAATATTGAGGTGATTTTAATAAAGGGTAAATGCTAGACTTCTAAAGTATTTATTTAAAAAATTATTAATTTTTATAGTATTTTTTGAAAGTTAATGAGTTTTGTAGTTCAGATTTTAAATTTAAATATAAAAGGAAAATATTCAAAAATTGACATGAAATATGTTGTATATAAAATGATATTTGCTAGAAAAGAAGTTTGATGTGGAACACTGTCAGCGTCAAGGATAAGATTTGATGTAAGAAGAGGCTTAACGGAATATAACATGAACATGAAACATCTTATCTCCGGGCGAATTATACCTACTAGCTCTTTCTAGGCTTTTCTCTCTGATTATAAGTCTCCTTCATCTATTTATGATGACTCTATTTATTGTTGTTGTAAATACTAATTGTCACATCAACTAATTTAGTTGTTTTTTGTTTTTTTCTTGTTTGATATTTTTTTTGTTCCTTATTTTACTATTTGGTTATAGTAATATGCAACATCTCAATTATACTACTACTGCTATTACTACTCTATATGCAAACAAATATGAACATTCACAAAACCTACAAGCATAAATTTGTTAAAAGAATTCTAACAAAAAGATATGTCAACTTTAATTCCTTTAATAATTAAATAATGTATGTTTTATGATACAAATTCTTATTTTATTTTAAAAAACAAAATTTTCAAAAAATTTACAAAAATTCTGAATATATCAAAAATATATGTATGTATCCAAAAGAGGACTTTTAGAAGATAATGAATAAATAATGATTTTTAGCATACTTTGGGTGGCTACACATGTTTTTAAAAATGAACTCATAAGAAAATTAAAAAACAAAAAAAAAGTTTAAACATAGGCATGACCAAAAGCTAACCATAACCGGACTGTTTCTCAACCGTAAACAGAACCGTAAAAATAGATTAGTTACGGTTAAAAAAAATATACTAACTGTAACCGTTAATTAACCATAAATATATCAAAACTGTTATTTAACCGTACGGTTAATCGCACTATTAACTGCATAGTTAAAACTTTAAAAATATAATTTTAACTATGTATAGTACAACAACCAATATCGAATATTCAGATAAAGATTTTCAAAAAAAAGTAAATGATACTGCATATGAAAAATATACGTTAGAAAAAATGGTATTTTTCTCAAATAAATAAGTTGTAATGCTATATTGTTTAAAATGAAGAAAATTTGGTTTATAATAATTTTTTATTTTATTAAAAGTAGTATAAAAAGTCAAGTAACTCGTATGATTTTGCGTCCGATATTAATTAACCGTATTGTAATCATCAAATAACCATAACCGTGTTTAACCGTAACCGTTGTAACCGTAATCGTATTTAACCATAACTGTTTAAACCGTATATATAGTGGTTAAAGTTACGGTTAAACAAAAATTATAACCGTAACCAGTGGTTAATTAACCGTAACCGTACTAACCGTAACCGTGGTCATGCCTATATAAAAATAGTTTCTTTATTTTCTCTGATTGCTTTTAAAAGAAGGAAACTTGTTTAGTTAAAGACGCGTTTTTTTTTTTCATTGCGTTTTACAATGCAACTGTATCTAGTCAATTCAATTGCATTATTTTTGTCAACTAGTCAATCGCATTTAAGATACATAACAATGATGATTATAGTATCTATATTTACACTTTTAATTGATCTACATTCATTAATTAAAAATATTTAATGAGAAGTATCGACACAATTCCCAGTGTTGACCAAAATCCCCCAAATTTTTAGAGTACTTCTGAAGAAACCCTAAAGTAAAGGATTGTCAATATAGTTTGCTCGCTTTGCATCTGTCGCCCGCACGGTTGCATCATCTATTGTTTACTTTAATACACTATAAATAAATACAATAAAACTAAGCTTTTAAAAAAAAATCTTTTTCACTGCCAAAAAGGTTTACCAAAAAAACAGTCCATTGACATCAGAATCCAACCGGATATTAATTAGTTAACACCTTAATTAGAGCAAATTTTATAAAAACAATATTAACAAAACTTTTTTTGAAACAAAAATTACATATTAGTTCTTACAAAAGTTTACAAAACTATTAGAATTTTTTTTTTCTTTCAAATGGTTATTGTACACATAATCTCATTCTAATTAAATACTATATCTATTTAAAAATTTAGTGAAATATTATATTTAAACCATTTATTCATAATAACAAATATTTGTGAGTATAAAACATAGATGTAATATAAATGATAACCATTAAAATAATGCTTTTAAAACAAATTGAATGTTGAAAGTTGAAATTAACGAATAAGTAACTGGATCATACTTTGATCGGTGCACACAATTTTAGATTGTTGATAGTTAGTATGATATTAACAAGGTGAAGAACTAAAAAAATTGACTGAATCTGTGTGTAATATGTAATTTAGATGAGGCAGATAACTTATATGTACTTTATATTATGCAAAATTTTAAATGGTTTTTACATAATTTAATTATTGGTTTCTTAAACCATTTCTAAAGATATCTAACTTGACCCTACAATATTTTAATCAGAGATTTAAAGTTCCCTTAAGCTACTTAATGATAAGACTAGTTTGGTTCAGTTAACAAAAGTTGGTGATTAAAGATAAAAAAGAATAATAAAAATTGGGGATTGCTTTCATTGGAGTTGATATTTTTCAACCATTTGTCAAAGGTGATTTTTTTTTGATATTTTCCATGATATAATAAGGTTAAAAATGGAATTTTGTTTGAAAATTAATGGGCAATTCTCACAAATATCACAAAAATAATTTTTGTTTTCAAATTTAGAAAATCTTCTCCAAAGTTGCTCATTTTAAAATGATATTTAATTTGGAAAAATATATTCTAAAACGATACTTAATCTGAACAAAAATGATATTATGGAATACACATTTACGGAATTCCCACATTTACATTTTGCTAATGAAAACTGAAGTTGGTATATAAAATAGGGAAAAGGTGTGAGAAGTGTACTTATCTAATAGTGTGATGGCAGAAACAGGTACTAAGTTCGTGGGAAATTTTACTTTATGAATCCATCCAAAACCTTCTTTTGTGATCTTCTCAATTCATTATAAACTGTTTGCTTTTTAATACATTATCTTAAAAGCTGTTTTTTTCTACTCCCTCTCTATTTTCTGTCTCAACAAACAAAGCGACCCCCACATAATATGAGAGACAATGTTCATCCATGGGACATGTTTCTTATGTATATACTATTATTTAAAATTTGGAATAATACAAAATTGGGTGCAGTGCTTTCAGAAAACAATTGAAATATTTATTCAAATATACATATATATATAGTACATTTCATGCTGCATATATACTTTGGGTTTAGGAGTCCAAAATTTACAGCAAACAATGCTAGCCTTTGTGACTCATTTTTTGGAATGAGATTTTTTTCGGAAAGAGTATTAGGATTTGGCCTGCAAACTTATAGGCCACATGTTTCAAATGTGGCTTAGTCCAAAATTAATTATTCATGTTTATTATTATTATGTCATTTCAATTCTGTTTGGATTATAGTTTTCTTTTGTTGTAAGATAACTACAGTCTAATGTACAAGAAGTCCTCTTCCGTCTTGTTTCAGCTGGAGATTTGAGTTACTGTCACCACCCCCACAAGCCGTTGTTATCGCCGGAGCTCATCATCATCGCTCCAATCTATAAGCCCGCGTCGTCTTTAATTCGTCTATTTTAAATTTTCATTAAAAAACTAAAGAAATGAATAAGGAAAAAATGAAAGAATAAAAGTATCGAATTTCGTAAGAACTACATGGAAGTGCCTAATCTTACAATGCCAACAAAAAAAGTGGTGTTTTCGTAATTGACTCTATAACTTATTCACCTAAGAATCTTATGAAACACAATTTTATCACTCCCATTCCCCGGTTAATTTTTGGTAATGGTTAAACTTAAATCTATTCCATAAATACATGTAAAATTTTACATAGAGTGAGCTAATTAAAGAGCATTGGCAAGGCTTAAGAGAAAGAGTTACTAAGTAAAACCGTGATATTTTGATTAGTTGGCCTAACGAGACCGAAAAAGCCTCCCTTGGTATCATCACTTTAACTCGGCAAAAAAAAATAGTTGAGGAAATCTTGGTGTGATTTTTGGCGTCGGAATATGAATGAATATAATGAGTATATTACACGAGTGTATAAAGCAATGAATGAGTTAGTTTTGATAAGAGTGAGAAAGAGAGAGAATGAATAAATGCAAAAGCTCTAAAATAGTTAGGAGAAGAGAGGAGACTGTTAAGCAAGAAGGGTTTCCCAAAAGAAGAAAGCCAAAGAGACGAAATAGAAAAGGACAAAAATAGCGACAAAAAGGCAAATGAATAGTGGTGGTTGAGATATGAGCCTATTCCATTTATTATTTAATATCCTTTTTGTAATACATAAAAAATTTACCAGTTTTTCTTTTTTTAAATATATTTTCATGGCTAAGGATATGTCATTTGAGATGGAGAGATCATCATCTCTCATTTATTACCTTCTCTTGCTTTTTATTTCTCCATCGATGTTCTCAATTTTTTCTTCTTTGAATTTTGAATTTTGCAATTATTGTTGGGACAAAAAAGAATAATACTTCTAATTTTCTGATTTTATATTTTTTTTTGTCAAAGTACTTATAATTTCTTTGCAATATTTTTAAACAAATATTATATTGATATAAGATTATATATTAAAAAAATGTATATATATATACACACATACATTTAAAGAATTATATA